ACACACACAGCCTGGAGGGAAGCCCAGGCCCAGTCTCCTGGGGATTTTACTTGTGCTAGGTCAACAGCAATTGTGGCCACTGATGACTTGAGGGCTTTTCTGCCCCTGCTACTAAAGAAAGGCCAGCTGCCCAAGGAGATTAGCACAGGAGATCCACAGGCATGGCAGCAGAACATATATCCCTTCCTTTCAAACATTTTACAGTGCAGTGAGTCCAAAGACTCCTAGCTCTCCTCTAAGGACCAGCCAAGAATATATTAAGGAGAGTGAATATAGGAGGATCCTGGTATATAAACCCACTTTTTCTTTAATGAGATCAGTAGTATTTTGGGCACTTGATTACTAAAACCTTTACATGGAACAATATGTTCTTTGCAGAAAAAGCTAGAGAGCAAGGTAAACTATTACTACATCAAACAATGTCTTATCAAATCAACCTGTATCCAAAAGCATCAGACAGCCCTAGTGAGTAATGTTGTGTTTCGGCCAACACTTCAGCTCACATTAGCACATCCGTCGTAGTTCTTGGGCAACCGTTCTGGTCTTCCAAATAAGTTGAGGTCATAATCTTTCTGTTGTTGTTTCCTGCCAGGCATAGACGTGGTTTCACCCTCAGCCTTTTTCCAGACCACCGAAACGCAAGACACTAAAGCAATCTGACTCTCCCCATGTGCAACTCCTGCCAACTTGGAATCTCCCGAAACAACTGACTAAGCAAGGCCAGGACTCCAGGAGATGGGGTTTATACGAGGGCCAACACCTCTACCTAAGAATGAACCATAAAACCACCAGCTCTCTACTCCCCAGCATTACGCCATCTAGCCCCAACAGGGTGGAACCGTGCAAAAGAAAAATCAGGAACACACTGAAATTAAAACTGCAAGTATATTTTAAATCCTGTTTCAGATTCATTTAAATTAACTGAGGTCAGGAAACTTCTTTATTCGAGCTGGGTTGTTCTTACTGGTTTAATATCAAAATCAGCCACATTTTTCCACTAAAAAAAAAAAAATCAATCCCTGACAGAAGAAGGTTCTAAAACTCAGAAGAGAATATGGAAAGAGCTTGCAATAAGCTTTGCCTTTTAGAATAACTAGTGGAGAAAATTATTAGAATAACTAATGGAGAAAATTATTCAGTGACTGGGCCATGGGAAACAACTGTTTGTATATTATTACATATCTTGCAGGTCACAAGTTAAGAGCACAGTTTTTATTTTCTAACACAGCATTTTTCCAAAGTGCTGCACAAAGAACACCAACGCAGCAAGAGAAAAGCAGCCAGATAGTGAGTGTGAGGAGCTCTGCCCTCCCCAGCCCCCTCCTTGGAAACGACAGATGCATATCTGCAGTCAACTCTATGAAGCTGGCTTTTTCCCAAGTCTGTTTCGCCCTGCTGTCCTTTTTATCTCATAACACATACCAACATCCCACAAAATGGCTTCTGTTCTGCAGGGCACGCTTTGAGAAAGATTCCTTTAGAAAAGGGATATAATAAAATGATCCAACAGCTGAGACCCTGGAGCCTGCCGGATCGGAATACCAGCGTAACCCCTGGTTAGCTGTGGGGCATCGGGCAAGCTTCTTAATGTCGCTTCTCCCTCAGTTTCCCCAGGTAACATGGGCAAAATAATAGCACCTACCTCTTAGGCATGGGTGTTCCCATATGACTGCAATAGTCTTCTGAGAGCCTTATGTGGCTGGTTCCTTTCCGTCACCCAGATCTCACTTCACAGTGCCACCCCCTCCAAGAGGTCTTCCCTAACTGCCGATACGAAGTTGGCCCCACCCAGGTCACTAGTTCTTCATCCCCTACTTTTCTTCCTGATACTTCCCTGTTTGACTGTTAAATAGATATCTGTATTCTAGTTTACCCCAATAGAACACAAGTACCACGAAGTCAAATTTTATCAGGAATCACTGGCTAGCCCAAACTAAATCACCAGTAAGTAGTCATTCAACGGCTGCATGAATGAATGAGTGAGGTAGCTGTGAGAATTAAACATGAATCACATAAAGCATTCTTTATAATGTCTGACACATAAGCATCAGTCCAGATGCTGTTCTGGAGGCTTCTGGTGAATGATGTGGGTAATGGACTCATAATTCTGACACTCTGTAACTTGCCTCTTCTTGCTGTATTGTGTGCAAACATTTCGTGGCATTTACTTGGAGGTGTGTGGGTAAATGGGCTTCCAAAAATAGGGCAGGTCGGGGGAGCACAGGTAGGCCCTGAGAATAGCATTTTACTGATTTCCATGGTGTAAATATTCCCACCATGACCAGTTTCAAGCTATCAATGATTAAAAAGCAAGTTCTAGAAATTCCTGAAAATATAACAAATGGCTCTCACAAGACAGTACAATTCTTCTCTTGGGAAGGGTCCTTTCACGCCTCCAACTCTTGTTTGTTGAGTTCAAGTTTAAAATAAGATTTTTATCTAGAGACACTTTTTCCACATTCTCCCCTCTTGGCTATCCAAGGAGTGGTCTGATGCTCAAGGAAACTAGTTGGATGTGTTGGGCTGCATTTCCTGTACCACTCTCTGTGGGGTCTCGGGCTGAAGTTTAAGGCTCTAAATATGATCTGTATCCACACCAGACCATTGTGAGGACCAACTAATCTCATAATTGTGTTTAGAATCATTTAAATGGAGGCATCCACACAACAGAATCAAGGCATCATCTATTAAGTGCCACCAATGAGCAGAATCTAATAATGGAATAAAAGTGACTCTTTCCTGACCACAAGATTCCAATGTAGAGTGAAAGTCAATACTGCAGATGGAGGTTTCTCTGGCACCACAGGCTTGTCGTACATGCAACATGACCCCTTGGCACCCAAAGCAAAGCATCAGCTTTTTTCAAGTTCAGCAATCTACCAACCCAAATTTTGAGATAACACAACCAAAATTCAAAATCCACAGTCATTCTGCATGCAAGTGATAACATGCCAGTAATTGCTGCTTCTCTTCTGTAAAGTAAATGGAAAGTCTATGGAATAAGGCAGAAAGAGATTAGTTTCTGATTCACTGTACCAGCTATCTATTGTTATGTAACAAATTACCCCAAAATTCAGCAGCTTAAAACAACACACATTTATTATCTCACAGTCTCTGTGGATCAGGAAGCCAGGCATAGCCTAGCTGGGTACTCTGTTCCACAGTTTCTCACAAAGCTGCAATTGAGGTGCCAGCCCAGGGCCTATGATCTCATCTGAAGGCTCAACTGGAGAAGGATCTGCTTCCAGCTCATTAAGTGATTGTTGGCAGTTTTCAGTTCTTTGTGGCTGTGTGAGTGAGGGTCTTGGTTCCTCACTGGGTGTATGCTGAAGGCTGCCCTCAGTTCCTCACCACATGGGCATCTCCCACATGGCAGCTTGCTTCATAAAAGCATGCAAGTTGACAAGGCAATAGAGTCTGCTAACAAGACCGAAGTAACAGTCTTATGTAACCTAATCATGGCAGTGTCATTGGCATCCCATTACCTATGCCATATTTCATTGTTTAAAAGCAAGTGACTAGGTTCAGCTTATACTTAAGGGGAGGGGATTATACAAGGGCATGAATTCCAAGAGGTAGGGATCATTGGGGCCATCTTAGAAGTCTGCCCACCACAATCACCCTCTTGGAATATGAATAGGAAGACCAGGCCCAACAAAACACCCCTTTAAGCTTCTCAATATGAAACCAAGCCATGTGGTTTCCCAAGCATATTTCTCAGGTCTCATACTTAGCAAACTAAGGTCTTATTCTTTAGTCCACTAAATACAAAACAAAACAAGGGAGCACCAAAGACATGAAGTCTGAAAACACAAAATTCTGTTCAAATGTTCTAAGCAAATACAATCTACATCAGAGAAAACCCCTGGGAGCATCTGTATTAGAAAGTCCCAACATGGAAGCCATTTTTCTGAACAACAAAACGAGTGATTCACAGGAAAGGCTGCCCATCTGAGCAGGTAGAGAATGCCAGGAAATCTAGTTTGGTCTGGAAGCAAATATCTTTTGGAATTTTTATGTATTGCTGTAGCGTATTTTGAAAATATACTTCATGCCATTTTATTGCTTACTATTTTCTGTGAAGTCTGTGTCTCCCATAGTACACTGATTACATGGTACTTTCGAGATCCAGACCCACCATAGTGGCAAAAAACTGCTGTAAAAACTTCAGTCCTTGGCTGTCACCTACCTTCTATCTAAGCTCTATCCAACCACACAGTCTCAGATATATGAGCATCCCAACATTCAATGGTGGTGGCAGGCCAGAGAGGCAGCCTCTGAAAGACTTCGAATAATTTAATCCACTAAGTGCAAAACACATAGAAAACCTAGAACACTGTGTCCTACATGAATGTAAATGCAAACAAAGATTATCTTAAATCTAAAATGTTCAAAGGTGCTCTGCACATTTTACCACTTTCCAGAACTACCCATACAATTTACTTTCTGCAAATTCTGCCTCAATTCAACTATAAAAAATACTTAAGTTTATTGGTTTGATGATCACCTATTCATTTTGCTCATTTTGCATAGAGATATTTGATAGACATCTAAAACTTACGCAGTACCGTACTCAAAAGGCCCTGAAACAATGACCATCTGTGGGAAAGCAGTTGTAAACCACCTGAGAGCTGACATGTGCTACACACGCCATGAATGTGAATACGTGTTGAATAATAATGGAACATATGTGTGGTGAGCAGAGAAAAAAAATCTAATGCAAAATTCCATGTTAAAGGTGATAAGCAGACAGGAAGGTTATAAAGCAGGTGACAAAGGGAATTTTAAGGCTGTAGATGTCTTCCAAGCTGTGAAAATAACTTGGTAACATATTTCACTTGTAAAATATGTCTTTGGGGCAATAAAGTGAATGTCCTTACCTCTCTCAGATGTATGTTTTCCTTCTCTTTCTGGTCTAAAATCACCTCCAAGTGGCTGACTTGAGACTCAGCCTCTGCCACCCGCCGCGTCCGTTCACTGTCATCCTCCAGACTTTTGGACGGCAAACCTTTACTTTGTAACATCTCGAGCAGCTTTTTAATGGACTCGTCTCGGGCATTGAGGGTCTGTTTCTGCGTTTCGATTCTCAGCTCCATCTCCTCCAAGGTCTTCCTCAACAGGAACAGCTCCTTGGCCTGCCGGTCATGCTCGGCTTGCAGCCGCCGGAAGTTCTCCTCGGTCAGCTCGATGGTGAAGTGCTCGGCGCCTCGGTTGCCGCTCTCTTGCTGCAGGAGGTGGTTGAGGTCTCTCTGGGTTCGCAGCTCATCCTGAAGAGCCTGGATTGTCAGCTGCAGGTGCTGTGATGAGAAAGACAGCAGGAGAGGAGAAAAGAGGAGAAAAGTCAATGGAAACGCCAAGTGCTGTTTGCTGGTGCCACACCATGAAGATGGAATGTTAATCATGAGGCCCACAGGGCCAGGGTGAGGTCCTCCAGGGTGACTTCAGAAGTGTGGGACAGCACATGGAGAGGGGAAGTTAATTCAATGATGCTTTCTCAATGTCTTAGGAGAAGAGAAATGTACACATACACAGAAACAGTATATTAGTGTCAGTCACAAGGGAAATTACAGATCTACGGTTTTAATTTAGGAAGTGGAAAGGGTTGGAGGGAAACTCACAAACACACCTTCTTTATGCCCACAGTGCTCCAGACCCAGTATTCCTTGTTTCCTAAAGAAGTTCTTTACTCTGCTATCCATTATTTTCCATGATAAATGCATGTCCATTTAAAAATGAAAATAATAGCATCCACTACAGGCAGACACAAACAAGGACTTTATTTTTACAAATAAAGCTGTGAACAGGTTTAGTAAACAGGATTACTGCATCTGCAAGCAAAAGGGAGCAAACGCAGAGACAGACACTCAAACACATGAGGAGGTAAGGCTGTGCAGAGCAAAACGAGCGGGCTGCAAAGAGTGGACAAACCTTGGTTCTTCTGGCATCCAGTAACTGAACAGCATGGGAAATGAAAAAAATGAAGCAAAAAATCAACACAAAGAAAAGTCCAGTGCAAGCAAAGGATATTTAACAGAAAGAACTTAATCAACATAAAATACCTTCACAGAGAAGAGAAAAAGAAAAAAAACATAATTTATATTACAGCAAAGACCCATAAGCTGCACAGAATCTATAGTATTGACTCTTGATAGACGTAATTTTTTTAAGTGCAGTTTATTCCACCTTTTGTTTTCTTAAATCTCCCTGACGCAGGGAGAAAAGCACAATACTCCAGACACACTCGCTTATTATTGCAGGTCATCATTTTAACCAAAATCACAGGGAAAGCACCAGAGAAACAAAATAGTTGCCAGTTGTGAGAAAAGAACCCCTTGCATGAAGACAGTTGGTGAATTCAGCAACGGTTCCCCACAGGGTCAAGCCCCAGGCTGTTCAGGAGAGGCAGCCACAAGCCTGAAGGCATTTTTTGTCATAGCAACAAATCAGGAGATTTCCAAAACAGCACTTAGGCATTCAATCACCAAACACATTCTCCTGCCTGTGAGAGGACCAGACACAACACTAAGCAAGGGAACCCAGAAAAACATAAGGCATAGCTCCTGCCCACAGGGGACTCACTGTATTATAAGGAATGGATAATACCGTGTCTAATTCACATAAATATTGGAGCAGTCAGCATTTTAAAATCTTTCTGAAGACCTATAGCTAATGCCCAGAGATGCTGAGATCTTTCTGAGTGTGACCTATACCCAGAAATTAGCACTGAGCGATGCATCATCTTGATAAAACTATGGATGCCCACTTCATCTGTACATTTTCATTGAAATTCCTAGAGCACAGGGATCAGATGCTCTCTTTCTCACTCATGAGCCATAATGCCTCACAGGGTTCTGACAGGGAGTTAGCAATTGACATGTATTTAATGATGGTCACTATGAATTATTTTTTAAAAATATAATGCACCCCTTCCCTGGCCAGATGGCTCAGTTAGTTGGAGTGTTGTCCCATACACCAAAAGGTGTTCAATTCTGGGTCAGGGTACATACCTAGGTTGCAGGTTCAATCCCCAGGGGCACATACAGAAGGCAATCAAGTAGTGTTTCTCTCACACATCTCTGTCATTCATTCTCTCTCTCTCTCTCTCTCTCTCTCTCTCTCTCTCTCTCTCTCTCTCTCTCTCAAAATCAGTAAACATATCCTTGGGTGAGGAGAGAGAGATGATAGATAGATAGATAGATAGATAGATAGATAGATAGATAGATAGATAGATAGATAGATAGAT